AATAACCACAGCATATTATTTTAGCTGAAAAAAAAATACAACTAAGTTTTTGCTTCAAATAAAATTAAATGGATCACATGTATAGTTTAGAAACAAAGATTACCTGTATACCTGTACTCAAAGTATACCTGTACTTTGAGTACAGGCATACAAAATGTTGGATATGTTTGAGGGCGCTGCAAGTGGGCTGCAGTAACTTCAATGGCCTCCCTTTCTTTACACTGATGCACAAGTCCTCTCTGCATCATTTATTCATGGTAACGGCAGATACTTTGCCTCATCCCCGGCAATTAAAGAATCAATGAAAACGAACCCGGCTTTGGAACTATCAATTCTAAGACGAAACAGTGTTGTTCATCAACACGCCACGATCGCATACGCAGACAATCGCTCATCTATCGGCAGTATTGTCAGCGCCTCTGCTTCGACGCGGCGCTCAGCTGTGAAGAAAAAAAAGCAGTTTTTTCTTCACGTGACTGTTTTTAAAATGACAGGAGTGTATTTGTCTGTCCAGGCGTGACAAAAAAGAGCATCTGTTATTAAATAAGGGGGGGGGGATACCACTTAATGTCCTTTTAGACAGGAGATTGTGTTTGCATTGTGGATTTTTTTTTTTTGTCTGAAAGAGAGGGCTGAGCAGAAGCCATCTGAGTGAGATTATCAAAGACGAAGACAGGTCAGTACAGGGCTTGTACCAACTAATACCTCTTTTGTTAGGGTTTGAAAGGTTGGCATACAGATATAAAGCTGTGTTTTGAAATCGCTGTCGGTTTTACAAGAAAAGCCGAGTGATCTAATGCATCTCACAAAAATGTCTATTTTATTCGGGGAATAGGACTGTCTAAATGTAGCTGTAAACGTGTCAAACAGTCGCAGAGATATTGTTTTCATAACCGGTTTTTGTAGATAAAATATCTTGACAGATTTGCAAACACAGTACTTTTTTGTTTTTGTTTTCTTCCCAGACTTGTCCGTTTCATTATTCTCTCTGCATTTATTCCCTTTAAACAAAATGACTCCAACTGGATGGGAAAACATTGCTCTGCGTTGGCAACAAATTTCTTCCTAAAATTAAACCACTTTTCTTTTTTAAGACACTAAAACGAGCAGCAGGCAGTAAGACTGTTGTCTCCCACCTATTAAAACTGCAACAATTCACAGACACACTATGGACGTTTAAGCCGCTACTACATAAACTGTGATAATCACAAATTAGTTGCGTTAATCCATACGTTCAAAACAAGCTGTCAATCAGTGTGGGACTAATATCAGATTGACTTCTTCTTCTTGTAAAGCACAATCTTATTACTTATAAAGAAATATGTATTTCTTTATTAAAGATATAATGTTAGTTTGTTTTAGTTGTCTAGTTCTGAATACACATTTAGTCAACTAAGAATTAAATGTCTGAGATGATGTAAGAGATATATCACTGGGTGTTGACCCTTCTGTTTTCGGCGTCTCATACTGCCAGGTTCACACACATAAACCACATGCACAACCTTTGCACTGTCACCCACAGAGCCGATGAACATATAGAAAATAAAGCAAAATTGCCACACGTAAGAAATCCCTGGGGATAAAGTGGCACGCTGCAAAACGAAAGAGAAGCGAAAGGAGAACGAATAGTCGGCTTGCGGCATTTATGTACAGTATTGGAAGAAAAGGTGTGTGTGTGTGTGTGGATGAGGGGTCTACATGAGCCTGCAGACACCTGCTTCATTCTGCAGTGATGGCTCCCAGCGGGACGCAGGCTCAGCTGCTGATCACTAGGCCCTCCCTGCAGCACTGGTGGCCAACACACACGCACATCTTCCAACAAATGTGAGCCCTCCTCCCCCACTTCTTTGCAGCGAGTGTCTGTGTGTTTCCCGTGGCTGACACACACCACATGTGCTCACATCAACCATAAACATGACACGATGCACTCGCACAAGCTGCACAGCCCGAGCTCGTGTGATGCTGAATGTGAACTCAAATGTGAAGCGGGGTGGTCATAACTCGCTCTACTGTAGAGGGAGATACGCTATAGGCGTGATACGGTTCAGTAGCGTGTCTTTTTTTTTTTTTATATTTTACCCCTCTACAAACCCTGTAGCTGAAAGGTTTTTGCTGGACAGAGCACTGCATCAAAGCGGTATATAATTTGCAACTGAAAGCAGTAAAAAAAAAAACAACAAAAAAAGGGCTATCTTGTGTTTATTCCCTCCAACTTTTCAGCTTTTAAATTTTCAGCCGATCACCTAATCACTCTCATCTCACAAAAGCCACTGTTTGTTATTTTATGTGCCAGCACTGTGTTAATCAAGCGCCATTGTGCTCATGGCCACGATTATCATTTCTGATCCTGCAATTTGCACATATCTCCATTTCTGTGTTTCTCCGTCTCCGAGCGTCTCTTTCTTTTCAGCGTCGCTGTTCACTGTGCTTGCACCTGTTTGTGCCTCGGTGACAGCAGGGTTGTAGAGCATAAATGAACTAATTTCCTGGATACAGACAACACAGCAATCAAGGAAAGGGGAAATGCACTGAGAAGCACAGATGGAAGGAGCTAATTATTGTTATGAAATAGAGATGACCTCTAACTATCTCCTGGCTGCTGAGATTCTGTGGTGACAAATGTTTGCCGGAGTCTGTGCCACCAACCGCCATTTTTTACCTCCCCCTTTTTCCTTTTTGGATGGGGTTGTTGTGGGGTTTGTGCAAGCCTCCGTTTTAAATGTTGAAACAAAAGATTGTAGTTGTCAAACAAAGCCTAGTGTCACATGGAGAATGACAGCTGCCTGCAGTGGGTAATCAGTGGAGCTTTCCTCAAATTAACAGCATTCAGCTCTGAAGCATGGAGCACACCATGTTCGTAGATGTGAGGTTATGAAATTTGGGTGTCAGTGACAGCAGATTATTTTGCAATTAGATTTTTTTTTATCATTCATTTCCCCACAAACAAATTTAGGTTCTTCTTTTAAAATAGTCATCTTAATCTCCCTAAAGCTACAAATTGAACCTGCAAATGCTCATTGTGAATGCTGGAGTAGTCGTCATTAATCGTGCACATCTCCGCGTGCTACCTGTTAATCGCTTTTGAAATTAATTTCTTTGAATGCTCCTTTAAATGCACTGCCCTACAGCTGTAACCACAGGATGCCCACACACTTGACACGCAGCTTGTTGCACAAACACACACGCGCTGCCGTACAAATCTCTGAAGAAAATGACATTTTGGTGTCTGTCCAGGATACCTATGGATCAAATATAAGCCTCAATAAATTAACAGTCGTCAAAAGTGTTTCCTTGACCGAAAATGTGCTCATTTATTGATGCGCCGCAGTATTTAAATGGCACTAGGCGATATTGCACCATCTTAAAAATACAATGAAATCCTGCTTTTCAGACTCTGCACACCAAAGCAGCCAGAATCTTCCAGCACATTTATCTAATGTATGCAAATGATCTTGCTATGCTTAATGAAGGCACCATTAATCACTTTAACGATGCTCTTTTTTAACCAGAGTAATCATCCAGACACACACACACACACACACACACACACACACACACACACACACACACACACACACACACGCACACACACACACACACAAAAACACCCACACGCACACATTTTTAAACAAACACACAAACAAATTTGCTTACACAAATGCTCACACACACAAAAAAAACTTAAAATAAATCCCCAAAATAACCCATTAACAAGCCCTTTTTTGGCCAAAAATCTAACTGTGCAGGTTACCAATAACAATGGGTTGAAATAATGTTATCCTACTTTCGTCTAATATGTTTATGATGCTCCACCCTGCTTACTCAGTCACCTGAAAATATTTTCTGAAAGGTTTCTGAGAAGATTAATCGAAAAAGTATGATCTCAAATGCATTAATGCCATGAATTCAGCTAATTTGTTTCAAATAATTTACGATCCAGCACCTTTATGAAAACAGCTGATGACAGTGGGTCTGAACAGGCAGTCGAAAGCAACAAGGCTTTGCATGGAATCCGACATAACGCCCTGCACCGACGTGCTCAGATTTAAAGAATTTCAAAGCAAATGTACAGTTTCACGGCCGATATTTCACCGCGTACCCTCAACCCGTTGCATTTGCATAGACTTGACGGGAACCCCTAGGTACAGTCAGCAGCAGCAGCATGACGGTGGGTTATGAAGGCTTCCGGGAGGCTCCAGGGTGTGGATCTGAGCCAGTTTGAAGGGGAGCCCGGACCAATGAAGAGCTTGCAGCAGATTAGACACCCACAGCTTCGTGTCGCTTTTTATGCGGCCAGTCAGGGATTTTCTTACAACGCTTTTTCTTTTTTAATGCTTGAACGTTGAAGATTTTCCCAAGCCTCTTTTCCCCCAAGTATTTTTTTTTTTTTTTATTTTTTTTTACTATGTAAATTGCAGAGTAATGTTGACTCTGGTAGTAGAAAATGTTCCTGTTTTTTTCTCTCTCTCCTGTTTGATGGGAATTTAACTGACATGAGAGTTGCAATTAAACGTAATTGGAAATCTGTCATCTTGCTCGTGTTTAAAGGTTATTCTGTTATTTTTATGTTTTACTTGAAGTCTTTGGAAGCAGATGCATGTAGAAAGATCCATATTATTTTAGCGAGGACAGAAAATAAATGTTTAACATATTAACCCACTCATTCACACATGCATGCTCACGCAAACACCTCAAATTCCCCTGATAACAAGCTGACTGGCAGAGGCTAAAGACGGAGTAGGCGGCCGTAATTGAACAAACATAACAATGTAAATATTTGCTAATACAATCCACTGGGGACACGGGCAGAATCCCACAATTGATTTGCTCTCTTTCTACCTTTTGTTTTTTGTTTTTTTTGCTGTTTTCTTCAATACACACAACCCAACTGTTTTTCTTTTTATTTAAACTCCTATCTCCCTGTTCCTTTTGTGGTAAATGCGCTTCCCTGTGTTCATTAAATAGATTTAGATACATTGTTCTGTCTACTATCCTCTTACCAGGGGTGACCTGTAGCCCATCTGGGCGGGCGATGACAGGGGATCCCTGGAAAATAGCGGCGAGTGCGTCTCGGGGACGGAGCCCACGCCACTGGCTGCCAGTCCCGAGAGCTGCCCGTACCTCGCCATCATCTTGAGATGCTGCTCACAGAACACACACGCTCATACACGGATACGGGAGGAGAGGGGAGGACAGGCACAGAGATAAAAAAAGGGAGGAAAGAGAGGGAAGAGGGGAGTGAGAGACGGGAAGGAGAGCAGATAACAGCAGGTATGGGAAGGATGGTGGGAATGCTGGAGGGGGGGGAAAAAAAAACTGAAACTTGGAAGAAAAAGAGGGAGGTAGACGGGGATTTACAGAAGACTTTGCTCTCGCACAGAAGCATGTGTGTGAATGTGCACACTTACACTTGCACACACAGTTTCAGCCCAAGGTGCACAATTTCACAAGCAAGCCTATGTTAGATGGGCTCGATGGCTACCTTGGTTTTGATGTAACGTCTAAGCACTGGCTCTCTGTTTATGATTACAAAGCAGAATGAGTGAGAAGCATCCCCCCCATACCAACCAGCGTACTGCTATCAATCACCCCCCCCTCTATCTTTTGGGTGCAAAGACACACACGCAACACACATGACAGAATGGTTGGCAGCAGACGTACACAGGTGAAATGTGGACAATTGTAACGACAAATAAGGGAAATAATCTAGAAATCTTTACCTCGTTGCTCAACAAAGCAGCGTTGAGTGTTCGGCTTATTTCAAACATGTTCAGATTCGATGATGAGGTTTTTGTTCTGTCCTTTAATTTTTCTCTTTTTTTCTTTTGGATTCGCTTGAGTTTCTCTGCTCCCTCCTGATTTCTTCTTCAGAATCGGGAGTCAGTCTCTCTCTGTCCCGGGAACACAGAAAAATAAAGAAAAAAATCAAATCAATTGAAAAAAGAAGAGGATATGTATAAAAAAAATCCTCTTTAATTTTTGATTTGGGATTTGTAATTTTTCAGTCCTGTTTTTGGGTTAGTTTTTTTTTTTTGTTCTTTTTAGTTGTTTTCTTTCGCTCCCTTGTCTGCTAATGCACTTCTGGCTTGGCTGTGGCTGTTAGTTGGAGGCGATTGAGCCCAGGGTCTCCGGCGCGCACGCACAAACACACGTCTGAGGAGTCAATACGCTGTCTTTTAAAATCTCCCCAGAGTCAGCACATTAAAGGCAGGCAGTCGGTAGGTCTGTGGGTCGGGCTGGCTGGCTCCCTTATCTGTCCCCCGCACACTGGCTCACACAATACGCTCCGATCCTCACACTGCTCGCTAGCAGATTAGCCTGTCCCAAAACATAGCACTTAGTTTAAACTCCCCTCCCTTTTTGCTCTCTCTCGCTCTCTCTGTCTCGCTCCTTCTGGCTCCCTCCCTCTCTCACTCCATCGCTCTCCTCCGCATCGCTCTCTCTTCCCCCAGTTGCTCATGCGTTCAGGCAGCTACAGTTCACCGTGTGACCACAAGGTGGGAAGACTGTTCTAGCAGCTCTGCCGCCACATCCTGTCCTCTCTGGGCATCTCCCGTCATTTAGATTTTCCTGTTTTCCTCCTTCTTTTGAAGCGTCAGTTTCTAAAACACGCAGGAACAGCGGCACAGAAACACACTCTGAAGCTTACCTATCAAGTCAGGGGCAGGTTTGCGGAGCAATGCTGTCAGTAATTAGTAATATCATATTTCTTAGGTGGAAGTAAAGTAATCACCTGCAATGTCACAAGGAACTCCAGCAGAGTTCAGTTTTAGGATACCTCTGAGAGAAAATCAGGCTGGGCTGAGCGTGAAGGTCAGGTGGTTGTCCTTTCTCCTCAGCAGGGTGTGGCGGGGGATGACGAAGCAGCCAGTCACAGCCATGGCAGGAGATCCCAGCTCCTCAGCAAACAAGCATAGGAAAACATGAGTCACTCTTTCATTAAGTTAACACCTTTGATATTTTTAGAGCTCTGACTTCATCTGCATATCTGCAGACTCTCGTGGTATGTTAAATTCAAGTAAAAAAAATGCCTTGGTTTTATTGTATCATAGCGTTTATCCTACAGTGTATAACATGAATTAACAGAAACACAACAATGATTCCTTAAACTTAAACAAAATACAAATAGTGTGTAAATTTGCACATGCTCTATTAAAACAATGGCTTTTCAGACTAAACCTTTCCTGTTTTAAGTTTGGATCACCAAAACTATTTGCTAAGTGCCATAATAATAACAGAGGGATGATAACACTATCCTAATTTGTTTTTAGGATAGTGTCAGATTCATAAGTTAACATACATTTTCTTAGTATTTGGTGAAACTGAAATATTTTGGATCTTTCAACACTGGCTTGCTGCATTTTCAGCCAGTTTCTTTTGAACAGGGCTTATGTAACTGAGATGGGTCTGTTGCCTTTGCCTCGACAAAGTCAATGGGGCTGGAATCAGAGCTTTGTGATGGCCACTCCAAAACACTGAAGTTCTTGTTGTTTTGTAACTAATGTGAAGGCATGCTTAGGGTTACTGTCCATTTTGAAAACTGATTTGGGTGATGTCTTGAGAAGTCGCTTTAATATTTGCGCATAGTTTTCAAAGACCCCAAACAGCATGATGTCACAGCCCCCGTACTTCACAGCTGAGATGATGTTTAAGGATTGCAAGCTTCCCCCCGCCTTTTCTTTCAAATATAACAATGCTCATTATGGCCGAACACTTCAATTTCAGTTTCATCAGACCACAGGACATGTCTCCAAAAATTAAGCGTCGCACACATTAGCAGCATCAGACATGTGTCAAGAAATAAGAACCTATTATTTTCAGTCCACACTTGCTGGGTCTGGTCAGTGGCTGGTGCTCCAAGGCACAACACCCAGCAGTCCTTTAGAAACCGGTTATATTAGGAAGCATCAATACTACTGATAAAGCTATACACAGCTGGAGTCTAATACTCTGTTCTTTCTTGGCACACTATGTCACGACACATGCAACTTATGCTAAGTTTGCCGAATGACGCACATCACTGGATGAGAAAAATGGAAGTGCTCCTAATATGCGGCCCCCTTTAGAATATTTGTTCCTGGGTGCATTTCCAAATTATAATCCATCTTGTTATGTTGCTTCCGGAGTTATGACTTCTTCATCACTGAGTGGCCTTTCAACCTAACTTAGTAAGGGGTTGGTTCACTGTAAATAATGACAGTCTCTTACTACCTTCTGGCATTTTCCGCACATTGTCTTTAGCTTTTGTTCTGGCTGTGATTTGCATTTTCTACCAAAACACGATCATCTCTGGGATCCAGAGATGAACGCAGAAACGCAGGAAGGCTTTTAGAATTATGCATACATTGTCTGAACAGATGAACCTGGCATCTTCATGAAAATTGGCTAAAACCGACTTTTGAAGGTCCTTAACCCTTGTGTTTAGAAATGGGATCCAACCGACCCCACACCAGTAAAACTTGTATCATTTGCCACAGTCCTCTACGTTTGCCTCAGTCCTCGCACGCACCAGGGTTAATTCATTCTCCTTTAGGTTTTACTGATTATTGTCTGTATTTGTCCTGACCAGAATTATTTCCAGCTGTATTAGTATTTATTTTAAACAAAAAACAAACAAACAAACAAAAAAAAACCAGTAGGACCTTATTTCAGCCAGCTGGCCTTCAGATGTGGCTTTACGCTCATATGAAACAGGATTGGTTTAACTTTGATGCTGGAAGCCAACCTATGTCTAATCTGCTGCAGGAGAAGGTATAAATGTTCTTGAACTCAACCAACACTGTCCAAGGATTATATTCTATAAATGTTAATAGGATCATTTTCGCTTATCAAACCTTTGACCTGTCTTACTCCTAACGTCATCTACATGGCAGAGGACTGGTTCCCAGTTCTTTAAATGTGCTTTTCACTGTCTTGAATTAGAGTCAGGGAAGTGGCCAGTTAATAGCTGCCTATTGACACTGGACCATCTGTTTAGGTGGCTGCTGTCCAGCACATGCGATGGAGGAGGGGGTCGAGCAGAGGGATGGAGAGACGGAGAACGTGGTGGACACAAAACATGAAAGGGACGAAACGATTACGGAATTGCAAACTGAACCGCTAGCAAATTGCTGGTTTAACTGATATTTATGTCAACAGAGAAGGTGAAAAATATCACAAAACTCGTACAATATGACAGTGTTTACACATTTTAAATTAGCACATAGCCCTGTTTTTGTAGCATTTTCATCTGCTGCAGAATATGTGAAAACATCATCAACAACATTGCTGTGTCGTGGCACCATTGTACTGATTCGGCTCCAATTCTGTTTTTTTTTTCTTTTTCACTTAGAAAAGGACTGCTTTAGCCACATCTCTGTCTCGTAAAGCTCATGGTCTCTGGGGACAGCTGGTCCGGCACAGCCCTGGGGGGAGCTGTCACTTGAATCATCCAAAGTGAGGGCTGATTCCTCAGTCAGCTGCCTCTCAAGCCTTCCTCTCTGACCCAGCCTCACTCCCCTGAGCCCCCTGATTGCTGTCACCATAGTGATTCTCTGTGTACCGCCGCCTGGTCTGTGCACCCCAACTGATCCTGCCGCACGCCCCCCCACCCCATCCCTCACACTCTCTCCCAGTCTCTCACAACAGCCTGTCTCCAACTCTGTGCCCCTTGTCCTCACTTGTTTTGATTTTTGCATGACTTGTTCCTTCATTGGTGATGGACTTTAAGTGTGAAAAGTGCCCAGCATGGCAGGGTAAAAGGGTTTCCCTGTACTTGGTGGAATATAAATGCTAAGACACAGATTTGCTTCCTTTAAACACACAAACACACTGGGCCTGGGGATAGAGTCGTAAACAGGACGATCTTTCTGATTTCGCCTTTTGACAATTATAAAGAATGATCTATCTGATCATTTTACAATTTAGGAGAAAGACATTTCGCTCTGAAAGAAATGTTTGCTGAGCATTTCCCCAGGAGGCTTTATTTAAATGGATTCTTCACAGGATTGTGATAATGCTGAGCATCCTCCAGTCACTCGCAACCTGAGATTAAAAGAGCCAATATTATTTTTTATTGACCTTCCTAGAAATCTTATTTTAACCACAATATGTGAAACAATGTTCCAAGTAATCAGTGGTCTAAAACACTTTCATGAATGGGTGTAAATCTTTTCTCCCGAGACACAATTAAAATGTGAAAAACCATTTTGTTGAATTTACTTTTTATACTTCTATAAAAAGTTTAGATTCTGGTCTTATGTAAACCCCATGACAAGAAGTAATAGCATTGTGTAAGCTCTACATGGCCTCGCATGTATGCAGACTGATTTGCCCGATTCAAAAATGATATGCTCATTTTTATGCAAAATTTTTTTAGCTCATTTAGGGCATGATCAGAAGAGGCTAGGAATAAGAGAAGAGAAAAAAACAGTTTAACGTTTCTTCTTTTTGTTTATTTGTTGTACTTTCTTTATCCCCATTATCCAAATCTTGTTTTCTCCAAGTGCTGTGTGCCGCCCTCTGACTGGGGTTACGATTACCCATCATGGGGTAGCAAAGGGAAAACGATGGCTACAATAATCTGGTCTGTACTTCTGCAGAGTTGACTGGCACATATCACAAACGTTTCATCACACTGGTATGAATTAGACCTATAATTTGGTTCCGGTGAGGACCATCTAATTTTCAGTGGGTTTGAAAATTAGATGGTCCTGTTCAAAGTATTACACAACGATGTAACTCTTTAACAGAGAAGTGAAACTTTAAGCAAGTAACAGCGATGCACCAATCAATCGGCCAGATATAAAAATCAAAGTTCAAGGGCTTCTGGGCACTAATACTCTGGTAC